CCCTACCCGACGCCGCGTCACGTGACGAGGGACGCTCTCGCCCCGCCCTGTCAGGCGACGGGACGGGCGCGCGGGCGCGGCGCGCGCGTTTCTGCGTCCCTTCCGCCCCGGCCCGTTTCCCGCTGCGCGCGCCATGTCGGTCTTCCACGATGAGGTGGAGATCGAGGACTTCGAGTACGACGAGGAGACCGAGACCTACAGCTACCCGTGCCCTTGCGGGGACCGCTTCCTCATCACGCGGGTAATGGCGGCCGGGCAATGGTGGGGCGGCGGGAGGAGACGGCGTTAGGCCGCGGTCCCCCTCCGCCGGCCGTGAGTGTCTGAGGTCGGCCTGGCGGCGGGTCGGTGACAGCTTTCCCGCGGCTTTTACAGGAAGACCTGGAGAACGGCGAGGACGTGGCCACCTGCCCCAGCTGCTCCCTGATCCTCCGTGTCATTTACGACCAGGTGAGTGCGGGCGGAGGGCTGTCGGACACGGCCGCGGCCTGCCTCCCCCGGCGTCGGGTAGGTCAGGCCGAGTTTCGTTTGCCATCCCCTGAAGAAGGCGCGGTGACAGCTTTTAAACGGCCCGTGGAAACGTGAGATAGGGTTGTGTGAGCTAGTGGCACTTTTGTGTCTGATTACGGCTTGTGTCTCTTGTTTTTCTGGTCTCCTCGTGCCGCGTTTGGGCTCTAAAACATGCCTGCTAGGGTGAGCGTGGGGTGGAACACGGGCAAAACAATCTCGGTGATGTTAAGGTCTATCTATGACTAGCAGCCTTGTCAGCTAGCCTAGTAGTTTTTCTTATCTAGTAGGTGTGTTATGGTGTTTGTGTTTTGGGAGACAGATTCATACCAGTTATACTCAGGCTAGGAAACAAAACTGTCATCTGGTGTTTTCTGAGGGAGTGAAGATCCAGAAATAATGAAAGTTAACTAAAACTCTACTTGCTGTCTTTAGGAGCAGTTCATGCGTGGTGAAGTCGTTGCAGAACCTTTGACAAACAAGGAGTTGATTAAGTGCTGATGAACATGTCATGAACTGTTGCTGCTTTAGAATAAGAAAGGATGGGGATGGCAACTGCGGGAAGAGATGTGGTCCTACTCCTGGAAGCGCTTGCTGCTGTGAGATACAAGTGCAATAACTGGCAGTCTTCACAATTTGAATGACAATTCGCCGGGACATCAAATACTTGAATGGGTTTTGTTCAAAAGGGTTATACATTTTAAAAAAATGCAGAAGATGCTGTATGTATTCTAGAAAACATGAGGATTGTGATTGTAATTGACAGAACGTCAGTATTCAGAAGTGCATGGAGTTGTGAAATTACATTTATATAGGAAGGGCTTCTTAGCCTGTGGAGAAAAGCAGGCTTTGTGTGGGCATATACCAGTGTGAAATGGTAGAGAGCTGAAACACTGGGAGATGAAATTTAGAAGTCTGTAAGACATGCCATACAGAATTACAGCTTTGACCGAGCGTGGTATCGCCCAGGATGTGGGCTCGTGTACTTCCAGCCCATACTGAATGTGGGGAAAAATAAGACCCAGAGCCAGCGCTGTTCATAAATTGTTTTTACTACTGTAAGCACAGAGAAGGTGCAGTTGTATTTATATCTGCAGTGGGGGCAACACCTGAGTTAACGCAAATTTGTTTCTTAAATTGCAGTTGCTTTGAAAAAAGCTTTAGTAGCTGTTACCAGATGACTCTCTGACATAATAATGATACACTTTTTTGGGTGTTGTGTGGAATGAGACAAATTTTTGAGAAGGTGTCCAACTTCTTTACTCCTGCAAAACTAGTAATGTGCAAGTGGACTTGAACTCGAAGTGGATTTTGATTTACACATATTTTCTCAACAACTTTGTGATGTGACTGTTGTAGCAAATATAAAATGGGCTGCAGTTCTTTGTGCGATTTGTAGTAGTACATTTGCTGAATTTCTCAGTTCTCCTTTGTTAAGTTCTGTCACTTCCTGAATAGGAGATGCACAAATTTCACTTAATAAAAATGAATTTTTTAGGGTAGAAAAGAGGTGGAAGAATATACTCCAAAGTACATTGATTGTCTACTTGTATTACAAGCCGCTGCTTTTAAATATCCATTTAAAATTATGGTCATTCATGTGTTTTAGTAGGATTTGACATCTATGAAGTTAAATTTCAGAAAAAATACTTGTGTAGCATTTATATAGTTATTTTGCTCCAGGCACTAAAGATAAGCAAGTTGTACTGAATTCTTGCATTTAACTGGTTTTGTTCTTACAACATTCCGTGAATGTTGAAGATGACATTCTAATTATTTTTCAAAAAACAGAGAAAACTACACCCTTCAGTTAGTTTTGAATGCACAACCGAAAGTGTTTTCCTGCCTAAACCAGAAGGTGGCACTCTTGTTACTTCGATATCTGTGCTTAAAAAAATAAAAAAAGCTGTGGTACTTTGGTTAGCTAGATCTTCTCAAATATTTATTTTGACTATTTAAATAAAGATATTTAAGACTCCACTGGTGGTTATAGTGGGCCATTGCTTATTCTGTTTGTACACCAGCCACAATGATTTCCAGAGCTGTTGAGTTACTGCCGCTGCTGCTGTAATGATCCTGGAATTTCTTATTACTTAATAAGACGTGTTTCAGTCTATCAGTAGACGTTATAAAGCAAACTTACAGGAACCCCATTTAAGCTGCTATTCAAATTCATACTGCATAAATATCTTAAGGATTTTCCCACAAGTATTCTACATACAACTAAGTAAGTTTCAAAAGTAACACCAGGGAATGTATACTGTGATGGAATTACAGCAAAGTAAATTGCTGGGTGTAGCATTTCTAAAGGTGCATAGATTTTACCCAGGTAATTTGAACAGATTTCATTTTCTAATGAAGATAAGGCACTGTCATAAAGACCTTTGTGACATTCATGTAGAGAATTATTTATATTCCCTATGGTTGAATTCCTATATGGTTGTAAAAAGTGTTTACTAATTTAATTTTACTTGGCATGTGCCAATACAAGCTTTGAAGTGATTCTCTGTAGTGTTCCCTGCTCCTCTAAAATACAGGTAGTGGCATTTTTAGCAGTAATTCTAGCAAAATAAATTACTTCATTACATCACTTGGGACTGTCAGTGCTTAAGGTTTCATGATAAGCGTATTCTTACCAATTATTAATAGGATCGAAGATGTATAATGCAATTTTTATCCACATTAAAATTATTTGGTTACATAGTATAGGTTAAAACTTTAATTAAAGTATGCATTACATTTGCTTTCCTGGAGCTTTTTTCCAGCATAGCAACAGTAAAATGTGGCTGGCTCTTAGAGGAGGGTATGGCCACGTTTGCCCACATAAATTGCTCTCAACTTGTTCTTGTTGCAGTGTCTTGAGGATCTGAAGGCTGAAGTTGCTGTCCCCAAAAAAAGGAGGCAAAACAAGGCTGGATGTCATGTAGCGCTCTCTTTTGTTGCCCTTGGGGAATGTGAGAGACATGTTTAAAAAATGCTGATCTGTTCTGTTGTTCTCCCTTCTTGTGCTCTGCAGAGAGGAGTAGAGTTCTGTAGCAACAGTTCATCCTTGATGAGAGCTCAGCGATGCTAAAGCCAAAGAGCTGCCACATTTTGTATTTTGTTAGCCTGTGAGAAGCTTTTGACTCCAGTGATTGCAGTCAGCTTTTTAAAAATTCTTCCATCCTGTATAATTCCAGAACACTAGTCAAGGCAGTCTGAGTAACCCACCAGAAATGTTCCTCTTCAGGAATTCCGTCACAAGGTTTCTTCGCAGCACCACAAGGCTCTCGCGCAGCATGCAGGCCCCTTACGCGTTACTTGGGTATTGCGTGTTCTTAGAAGCCAATGGTTCACTTGTCTTCTGAAGAGGCAGTTGTGTAGGACACAAAGAAGTCCTTTGCTTGCTGTTTGCATCTGACAAATAGATTGATTATGTATTTGATTAGGTCCTTGACTCTGCACAGAGGAGTCCAGTGTGATGAAAACAGCATCATGTGAACGTTAATGGCGTAAGTCATATTTACTAGAGATTAGAGGGAGTGGAACAATTTATGATCAATTTCAGACATTCAAGCTCTGAAATTACCTAATGCTGTTAAACACCCCTAAAGTCCCGTATAATATTGAAAGCAATCATTACACTCTTGACACAGTTTTATGGGAAGAAATGGAAGATAACTTGCTCTTCATTAAACTAGAGAGGCTCAGCTTCTCCGAACAGTCAGATTCTTGGTTGCATTTCAAAGAAACTTGCTGAGAAGGTCATGTAGTTTGGGCTCATTGTATATCAGTGGTATATATGATTAGTTTAGAATAGTTGGTCTAGAAGTCTGTGACAGAGACCCTGGACCTCCGAGAGCTGAGGTCATTAGGCTGCCAATTTTAGTAGTTGCACTTGTTCCATTTGTCTCTATGTTGGGGAAGTCATAATATCCTAGAGGACCCTTCTGTAAATTCCTTGACATTTCTCCCCTCCATCATAAGTTTTAATTTTGATTCTTGGCACCAGTCAAAAAAAAAGATGTCCTTCATAGAACATCAGTTTAATAAAAAACATTACATAGATTACCAAGTTTACCTACCAAGAAACAGATACTGATTAATTTCGAATAAACTGTCAAAATTTCAGTTAAGAAAGTGAACTGACAACTGTGTATTATTGTCACTAAAAAAACAAGTTTCCATGTATCCCATTTCCATCTCTGTGCCAGTTTTAATGTTCAGATCAGGCTAACTGTAGGGATGGGTATTTGTTACACTGAAAACTTCTTGAAATGGTTTTACAAATAGGATTTGTCAAGATATTTAATGTAGTAATGAATCTTTGCTATGATTTTTCTCCTATCAGGGTTCCTTGTGGATTGCTTTCTCTTTATTTCATTAGGACATAGCTTTGATTCTGCTTCATGGTAACTTAAAATGCTGATTTCTTAATGTCTCTCCATAGTAGCTGTGGCATGGAGGAGACAGGGAGGATTTGGAGGATCCTGGGTAACCGTGAAGGTGCTGGGCTCATCAGCCCTGAAACTGGTTGAATCTTGTGAGTGACAGAAGCAATGACTGACAGAAGCTGTGCCAAGCTGGAAAACAGCTGTCACAATGTCACCTGCAGTCAGGGAGGAAGTGGGTCAAAAGGGACTCACCCAAAGGGTAAAAGCTTAAGTGACCTATCCTCACTCCTTCCCACCGCTTGCTGTCACCATTCCAATCTGTTTGCATACCAGGTCTCCTCTCCGAGATTCTTGGCAGCTCAGCAGGCCAGCCCAGCCCAGGCTTTCTGTCATACTGTGGAGGATGACTGCGGTGCTGTTCACCCTACCGCTGAGCACTGAGCAGGGCCAGCCAGCAGAAGCTGGCTCCAAAGGGCAGGCGCTGCGCGAAGGTCAGCACCAGAGCTGCCCCATCTGGCAGTGCCATCATCCAGCTGGGCAGGCAGTCACCATAGCTACTGTGAGAATTATCTCACTAAAACATCCCACCTGAATGACAAATTAGTATTTTCTGCATTAGGTTTTGTGCTGCAACATGCAAATGTAGCCCTTTAACAGGTGAAGCAGAAAGCATGTCTCTCTGAGAGTTCTTTAAAGCTCTACCTGTGAGGATTTTTTTTTTTTTTTGAGCCAAAAGCTTGATCACAGTGTCCACCAGTGTGCTCTGAGGCAGTAATAGCCCTGTGAGCCTTCGCTCTTCGCTTTCAGTGTCCACCCTTGTTCTTGGTGTTTACTGTCTTTCCCTGGGGAAGGGAGGAGCTCTGCTGGTATATGGAGCTGTAAGGGAAGCATTCACAACATGTGTGATACTGGTTTTGGCAGCTGTGTAATTGAGAAGGAAACTTTTGGGACCCCCAAATAACAGGTCATTGTTGTGACACATTTCCAAGGGAAACAACAAGACTAACTCATGAGTATTATGATCTTATGCCTGCTCTTTTCCTTCTAGTGGAAACATAATTTAATTTGCATTCACAGAGTAGTAATTAATTCATTAATAATCCCCCATATATATTTTGTTAACTAAGCATCTTTTCTTTTTAGTCTTTTCTGTATTTTCAGTTGTTATGTGATAAATAACTTCCAGTGTCCCATTTTCATCCCAGAGTGACTTTCCTGACAGCTTTTCAGTCAGCTCACTGATGTTGCTGAAAACAAGCTTTCAAAATTTATGAGTCGGGCCCCTGGAGATCCTAAGTTTGTCTTAAAATTGTAGTATTCAAACAGTATTTTAAATTTATTCTTTCATATTGAAGCTTTTAGGGATCATGTTTTCATTTTGTTACCAAGGTCCTCTTTTTTGTTGTGTGGTGATTGTTTTTTATTTTTAAGTGAAAGCTAAGATCCTTATTGTGTTGTTTGAATGCTGAAGCTGTTGCTTTAGGGAAAGATCCAACTATGACAAGATTCAGGGTAAAGTCAACAGGAGCTGGCAATACACTGATGTGTAAGTCACTCCTTCAGGGCCCTTTTCAGGCTCTTTCTGCTCCACGGCAAATGTTTTTGCTTTGGTCTCAGTTGTAGTCCTTCTGCACAGGTTGGAAAACAATTTTTTGACATGTTCATTATTTCAAGTAAAAGTTATTCCAGTCCACCAGAACGCTAAATAGCTGCAACATCTCTGAGCATGATCTTTTGTGCACAGTCCTACAGTGTTTACACAAAACACAGGTTTCTGGTATAATCTTAGGAAGAATAACCATTTCAACACTCCCTAGGAAAAAATTGCATTTTTCAAGGGATATTTCTGTTTTTCTTTTGAATTCATCCAAGTAGATACTGCCTAACAGTACTCATGTCTGCATATCTCTGATCATAGGCCTGTTGCTGCGTCTTTCTGTGGAAATTGTGTACTTATGCATAGCCAACGCAAACATCATCTGGTATTTATCTTTCAGACAATAGCGAGATTGGTGAGCTCCAGTGGAGCTTTATATACCGCAGCATAAATTTATCATTTCCTATCACACCATAGCAGAGATTAGAACTGATTTTGTATTTGTGACAGATTTTAAGATTCGTGTTTCATTTAATTAAATATAGAAAAAAGTAGATAAAATATGAACCCTACATTATCCTACCTTTTCTCTCATTATGGTAGAATTCATTTGACTTCTTACATTATGCAGAGGTTTCTGTGACCCCCCAGTGCACTGCAGAGGTGTTACCATGTTGGTGAATTCTGGTGCACATTCCTTGGCTTCATAACGAAAACCAGATTTTTAATTTAGATATGAAAACAGTCTGGTGGCAGAGATACAGACAAACCACCTGTCAGAGTGGTGTTTCGGAGCCAGTAAAGAAAGCTTCTGTCCTAGAGGCTGAGATGACCTGTGGCAGCAGAATAGGTAAGTGCATCAGAACAGAACTGGCTGGCCCAGGGCAGACCAAGGGCCTCCTTGGTCCCATCCCCAGCACTGCCCTGCAGCTAATAAAGAGTCTGGTAATGACTAGGGCAAGCATTTGGGGGTACTGCCCTAGAACACTCTACCACACAGTTTGTAAGTC